GCACTTCATTATTTTAAATACAGCTCTTTTGTCATTGCATTTTTCTATTTAAAAAAAAAAACCAACAATTTATGGCTCATGGAAAAAGATTTAAGGTTTTTTTGTCTGCAGTAGCTAATAATAAACAAAATGCATGTACTTGACATTGAAATTGTATTGGTAATAACAAAAAAATTAAGGAAACACCTAGAGAGCAAAAATCTAAACAAAAACTTTGTAACCTATAAATTATTATAAGAAATTATTAAGCAACTAAGAAATGAGAAATATAAAAAAAAACTATCAGTTCATATTCATATTTTATGTATTAAATTAAATAGGATATTTCCCTGTTCATAACTAAGCCTTAAATATGCGAATTCTTTGAATCAATATTTATCGATATCTTTATATGAGAATTTTTTCGAAAAATTTAAAGTCTAATAAACTCATACTCGGTCAAAAATGCATTAATTTTCATTCCGAAAGCTGTCCTAGGTTAGTTTTTTTAAGGTTAATAAATTTGCATACTCAATTAAAAACTACAAAAAAATTCAAATTTTTACTAATTTTTTAGGCCAGTTTAACCCCTTAAAAACCTGTGAAAATTTTCGAAAATAAAATTTCTCTATAAGATGGCTAGATCGATTCCCCTGTTGATGCTGATCAAGAATATATATGATTTATGGGGTCGGAAATGACTTCTTCATAGCTTTACAAGATTCTGATTAAAATTATCATACCCTGTAATATTAAGCAATATTTTAACATTTTTTATAAACTTTTAGACAAATTATAAGTTTAAAAAATACCCATCTGTAAGTTATTTATATGATTTTTCACTTTTATAATATTATAAAAAGCTATAAGAAAGGAGCTCTATAATTTCTATATATTAATAGAACTTTCTTTTGAAATATTAACCAATAATAAATAATAATATTAATTTTATTATTAAAGTAAATAAATCAGGTAGTAAAGTTTAGATAGAGATATAATTATTATGTATATATCATAATATATTGATTTATCTCTCGAAAGAAGGGTATCCTTGTTGCCTTTACACTCATTTTCCTTGGCTGCTATTCTATATATTTTGTCTTTCCTTTGCTTTTGTTTTTTAGTTTGTTTTTTACTTGTTGTACCCGTCTTTCTTGGCTTAATTTTCGCCCCGTTTTTTATTTTTTTGGGCGCTTGGTGAGCAGAGAAAAGCGAAAAGCGAAAAGCGTTGGCTGCCTGGAAAATGGCAAATTCAATTTGCATATGTGGCCACCCAATTGTTGTTGTTTTTGTTGCTGTCGCTGGTACTCCTTCCGCGGACTTTCCTTGTCTGTATGTGTAATTTTTTTGTTAGTTTTTTTTATTTATTTACTTTTGTTTATACATTCATGTGGCTGCCCATTTAGCACAGTTCAGGCAACTGAAGCTGCTAATTGACCCGCACAGAAATCGAGGTGGAGGGTTGGAGTTGGAAAAGTGCAAGTTGTTGTCTTGGCCAAAATTTAATCAGCGAAACCAATGCCACCGCAAAAGCGCAATATCCAAACTAAGCAGTGGGAAAAAGCAGAAAACAAAACCAAACAGGAGCTGCGATCCATAAATTGTAGCTTTTTTGAATACTCACGAGTAATTGCAATTTTCCCCAACCACACACAACACACACACACATCATGTTTTACACTCGCTTGCATAATGATAATAATAACAACAAACAGAAAACAGAATTGTACACAATTCGGGGCTTCAAGTGCAAGCTGTGCACAGCTTCCATTGACGCACTTTCGAAACCAAGTTTCAGATTTCAAAACATGACACACCCTTACAATGTATAATATTTTATAACAAAAAACAAAAACAAAAAGAACCCAACCCGCTTTGGGATGAAAGCATAAAAGCAGCAAGAGTGCAGGAAAAAAGCAAAAGCATAGCTGCTCTGGAGAGAGACCACGAATTGCCTTCATTAACCCAAATGGCAGCGAACCGAAAACTCAACAAAAAACAAAATAAAATCAGAAACAAATCCAACTCAAGGTTGCTGAGCAATTACATCAAGAATTACATCAAAGATCATAAATATTATCAAGAATTATATATATACCAAAGAGCTTTCAAAGAAGAGTATTTCTTTGTGTAATCTTTATCTGAAGTCATCCTTAACATTTCATAATAATATATCATCTCAAAGAAACTCAAAGTAAACAATCTAAGAAAGGAATTACATCAAGTTTTTATGATCAAAGATTACAAATATTATTAGGAAATATAAGTATTAAATATATATATATATATATATCAATGAAATTTTAGATTTTATTAGAGAAGAGTTTTTCCTTGTGTAAGGTTTAGCTGAAGTTTTACGTAACCTTTCATAATAATATATTATTTAAAAGAAAGTCAAACTTAAGAATCCCAAAGAGAATTACTTTCAGTTTTTAGGATCAAAGATCATAAAGATTACGAAATAGTATCAAGAATTATGAGCCTTAAAAAATACTTATATCATAGAGAAATGTATTCCCTTAAGTTAACTTTATCTTAAGATATCTTTAACTTATCCTAAGGATATATATTATCTTGAAGATATTATTATCATATCATAAATATTATCAAAGAAGAGTATTTCTTTGTGTAAGCTTTACTTAAAACCATCCTATTATAATAGTATATAACATCTGAAAGAAACTGAACCTAACAAACCAACCGATAATTATAAGATCGAAGCTCATAAATATTACAAAATATTATGAAGAATACAGATCTCCAAGATCAAAGTATTCCTTCAAGTTAACTTTATCTAATCCAAAGAATATATGATCTTTGTAGAAATTACTTTTATATCTTAGGAAAAATCCCATAAATGTCTCAATTTTCACCTCGAAGAACTATCCCAACTAATTCCAGCGTATGCCATATCCCAAGACTTTATGCCACCCCCATTTTTGAGTCTAGAATGTCCTTTGCCCTAGAGTCGGCCAAAGCGTGTGGAAAATTCATTAAATTTTCCAAGGACACAACTTTTGGACAGTGGCGGGCGGAGTCCTTTTGCTACTTCTTTTTCCCTATATTTTTTGTTGTTGTTGGTGCGTGTGGAGGGGGCGACCTCTGACATTGCATTTAATCTCGTTGACAGCACTTAACACGCCCCCAAGTAGTAAAAAAAGAGGGGGTGGCAGCAGGGAGAAGGACGAAGCTGTGCCACAAGGACTCCAGGATGGCTCGGGGGTGGTTCCAATGTTGTTCTTGCTCTAGCTTCACGCTGCAAGCAGATTATTTAAGTTTATAATACGCTTAGGGGTAATTTTAATCTGTTGCAAATTGTTTTTGCTGTTAGCTGTCGACACACACACACACACACACACACACTCGGTGCTGTCAGGCCCCAAATCACCATCTATATAACATATTTTTTATCTCGTTGCGTTTCGTACTTTTGTGGCATATTTCATGGATATTGTAATCTGGTTTTTCTTTTGTTTTTTTCTGTTGTGTGTTGTGAAGTGAACACAAGTGCTAGAGTTGCGGTGGCTGAAGTTGGTTTGTAATTTCACTTGTTTTTTTCTATTTGGCACAGTAGGAGCTTGACATAAATTGGATTTGGGTTTTTTTGTATTTTTTTGGGGGGTAAATTGATGCCAAATGTGTGTTGTTCAGGGTCACAGATTTTGAATAAATTGCTAGCCAGGGAATTATTGGTTAATATGAAACGGTGGAATAGAACATAATCATATTAATGGGTAAAAACACACATACTTTTATTTTACCCATTTGAAACTGTGGAATGGAACTCCAAAGGAAAGTGAGATTTAAGAATTGCCTAAGAATGCAAATGTTCGAGGAAATTTCCAGTTAACTCCAAGACAGGGAATTATTTAACAAAGTGAAACGGTGGAATGGAACATGTCATAATTAAGTAGAACAAGAAAATGTCCTATATTTTTATTATTGAACCAATTTGGAACTGTAGAAAGGAGCTTTGATAGAGAGTTTGTTTTAAGGTTCAATAAAAGAAATACATTCTTAAAGATTTTAAATGAATGGCAAGTCAGGAAATTATTTAATAAAATGGAACAGTGGAATAAAAATACATCCAAATCACAAAGAATGTTTAAGGAAATCAAGACAATCAGAGAATCAAGGAAAAAGTCACAAAGCTCGTCTTAAATGCTTTAAGTAGCAAACACTATTTAAGAATTATTTTTATTCCATAATTTTTATGATAATTAAATAGTGAGCAAAATATCAGAATAAATTTAAAAGGTAGATATTTTTATCGATAACTTTTTTAAAGTCAAATCAAGGGAATTGGGATATGAAACACGTAAGTAACTTGCGCAACTAAAAGTTTAAATGATGGAATGGAATACTGTAATAAAATATTCACAGAAATCCCAAAAGTTCCCATAAAATAAACAATTTATGCCACGCATATATTCATATCCTGGACAATCATGCTTATTTCTGGAATATTTATTAATAATTAGGTGAAATATGGATCATTAGCATCAAACTGCCCATGTGGAATGCCACTTTCGAATCCCAAATGGAATGGAACGCATTCAATTATGTGGCATAAAGCGATGATGATTGGTGCCTGCCCCCAAACACTACATTCCGATGCATTGAAAATCCATTAGAATATCAAATATTTAAGCCAAATTGAATGCGAGCCAAAGGCAAAAACTTAATTCAAAGTTGAAAGTGGCGAATACATTAAAATGAAAAGATATTACAACAAAGAATATAGTGAACACTCAGAGCGAAATATTCGCTTATCGGGCCAATTAATATGAGGAATTTATTTGGCCATTACAGAGCATAGCATGGAATCTACGGCACGTCTCCAGAAATGAGATCAGCGGCGCCCAGAATAGGATCAATCGAATGCTCTCTATTCTAAATACAAAGGCACAATACAAAAAACGGGAGAAAGGGGAACCCCAAGTAACAAACGAATTTTCAAACACAAAAAGTAAAAATTATAATCATAAATCATAAATTAAGAAATCAGGTTAATTACTCACCCTGAACTTCCGTTCTGTTAACAAATGTTGGATAATTTGGGTTATTTTCTGTTCCCTCCGTGGCACGCTCACAGCCAGCCTCATCTGTTTGATCTTGGCAATCAAAGACATTATCACAGCGCTTATCCCACGACAGACACTTATCATCGCACTTGAACTCTTCTTCAGAGCAAACTGAGGTCAAATTAAACATATAAAAATAATAGTAATAAAATATAAATATATATATATAAAGCAATAGGTAAAGTTAAATGAAATGGAAATGAACAACTGATCAAAGGGGGAAATATTTTATTTCTAGGTCTCCCTGAAACTCTTTTAGTTATTAGTTTTCTAACTAAGAATTTGTCAAATACTGCTTCAAATATTCGCATTCTTTAAATCGATATTTATCGATATTTTTATGTCTGTTTTTTGATAAATCAAAGTTAAAAAAAACTCATAAATCAGCCAAAAAACATTAATTTTAATTCGGAAAATTTTCTAATAAAGAATTTTGTTATTATTGCTTCAAATAATCGCATTCATTAAATCGATATTTATCGATATTTCTTAAATGTCTAATTTCTCGATAAATCAAAATTTCATAACTCAGCCAAAACAGCATTAATTTAAATTCGGAAAGCTGTCCTATGTTAATTTTTATTAGCTTGACAAATCTGCATACTCAATTTAAAATTTAAAAAAATTAAATTTTATGATGAATTTTTAAAAATTTTAAACGATGTAACCCCTTCAAAAAATTAAAAAAATTGTTCAAATTTTTTTTCGTGCTAAAGATGCCTAGATCGATTCGCCTGTTATTGCTGATCAAGAATATATATGATTTATAGGGTCGGAAATGACTTTTTCACATAGTTTTAAGCTTTCAACTGAAATTATATTACTGACTATATAATACCCTGGCAAGGGTTTGAAAATTGCATCTATAGAAGTAAATCCTAACGTTTAATTATACAAATTGTATTTCCCTTTTGGAAATATATGTGTATATTGAATATATTATTAAATAATTTATATATATACTATATATACACATATATATCGGATATGATTAATCGGACAATATGAGTGTATGAATTGGACCACTGAGATGAATCGGATTTGAAAATTTACCCGTGGCATCTGTACCAAAGCATCCATCCTCGTCCTCGCCATCGGGACAATTGGATACACCATCGCAACGCATCTCCTCGCAGATGCGTCTTCCGCTCTTCTGGCAGGTGAATGTGGCATCCCCGCGACACTCGTTATCATCGTTGCCATTGCCAGAGCCCTCGACATTGATGGGATTGTAATCCCGCAACACGACTGGTTCCTCATCGTCATCTGTGTGTGATGGTCACAAAGGGTCATTAAAACAGGGACCAAGGACCAGGAACAGGAGATTCAACCAGAACAGACAGTGGACAGACAGCAGAGATTGATTGATAGATGGATAGATAGATTGATAGATAGATTGGGAGACAGCAAGTGAAGTGATATTACAGATTCAAAATGATAAAGGCGACGTGGGTGGGGGACGATCACAGCATCACACACACACACACACACACACATGAGAGACATTCACAAAGTTCACTTTGATTTTCAAAAATCAAAACCAAAGTCACAGATTATGTTAGAGGAGGACCTTGCTAGGATTGCCCAGGGGTTAAGCACAGTGGGGCAAACCCTATGACTTCCGTTTGGACAAACCTTTAATGGGGTAGAGAGAACTGCCCAGACCCGGTATACGGGGACCAGCCTCATCGAAGCTCGATCGAGGAGCCGCCACGCCAACGTTGCCCAAATTGGAAGCCACCACGGGGGACTCGACAGCTTCTACATTCGTTGGGGTTTCGCCTTTATTTCAGGAGGTTTGTAGGTAGTTTTCAGGGTTTTTTTGTTAGAGGGGGTTAGATGGAAGAAAGAGTTTGGAAATTATGATTTTGGGTTGTGACACGAATGCAAAGCAACGAAAATAATTCAATTTATTCGCTTTGCATTTCTAGTTTTTGGAGGGGAAATGGAGAAGGAAAATATTTGGCATTTTACAGCAAAAGCAGCGTTGGAAAAATAAACGGTAGGAAAGCCAGGAGCACAAGGACTTACCTTGCGATTCCTGGAAGTAGAAGACATTATCGGTAGAAGCGCCCAGATTCTCAATACGCTTGTAATCGTTCAGCTGCTTTTCCAGTTTGCTTTGGAAATCGGTAATCCTGTTGGGTATTTGCAGCTTGAGGAGAACGTGCACCTTGAAGCGATCATCGGTGGGACTGGAAATAATAGAAATTTTATTATTACCTATTCAATTAAATAAGTTATATAGCCAAGGACTTACTCTACTTGCAGCAGAGTGCTGTGAATATCCTGATCATCGTCATATTCAGCATAAGTGTGCTCGAAGAAGGAACGCAGTGCATCATCCAGATTCTTTTGTAGAGTTTGGAAGGCAACGCTGCTGGGATCCGTGAAATCATTGTCGTAGGGCTCATTCACAGCAAAGTAGGTGCGATCTAGTATTCAAAAAAATGCAATTAATTACTTAATTCATTCATATTTATTCACATTTATTCATGGTTAATTATTCATAGTTTAGATATCGATATAAAATTGAATAAATGAATATCGTTAATTATAGTTTAACGAACAGAATGTATTTTTAATTTATATTTAAAATAAGAAACAAAAAGTTATATAAAGTCCTTGTATGCTGAACCTGGCAATATAATAATTATTGATATAATTCGATTAATTATCGATCGACTGTTTCATTTAAGACATGTATAACTTTAAATTTAATTAGTTTAAATGGATTGTAAGTGTAAGATATAATTCGATTAATTATCGAGCGATTGTTTCATTTAAGACATGTATAACTTTAAATTGTAAGTGTAAGATATAATTCGATTAATTATCGATCGATTGTTTCATTTAAGACATAAGATTGTAAGTGTAAGATTTGATGACACATATGTTTGCATATCTTTTTGATTGATTCTCAGATTTTCTGATCGATAACGACAGATGAATTTATCAATTATTTGTACTTACATTGCGTGGTCTCCTCATCGGGGGAACCGGATGCCTCGGTCTCATCATAGACCTCGGATGCCCGCCTCCGTGGATCTGTGGCACGATTGAAGACATTTCCAGCTGCGGCACGCTGCTGTTGCTGCTGCTGGAGGAGACGCTGCCTCTGGAGCTGACGGAGCTCGGCCTGTCGGCGCTCTCTGGCCTCGCGGGCCTGCCGGCGCAGCTCCTTTTGCCGGTCCTTGGCCGATGTGCGACGGACGCGATGATGGCTGCGATTATCCTCATCCTCGGAGGCGCCACCACCAAATAGTCGCGACAGGGAACGGCGAACGCGATGGACACCTTTGCTGAACCAATTGCCGGTGTCCTCCGCCTCGGCCAAAGGCATCAAATCATCATCGGGCAAATCATCGAGGAAGGAGTCATCATCATCATTATCCTCGTCGGCAGCATTGCCAATGGCCTTCAGTTCATTATCCTCATTGTTTCCCTGCAGGAACAGATCGTAGGCGGGTATAAAGTCCAGGTCATCGTTAAAGTTGTTTATTTGCTGTAAACGAAATTAATCAATTTATTAATTAAAAGGTTTAAATAGAGAACTTTTTCATTACAAGTTCTAAAATTTGCAAAGCCATTTAATTAGTGAATATTCTTTTGCTAAATTTAATTAGCAAAATAAACAGAAAGTAAAGTTAAATTATATACATAAAAAATACTATAGTTAAAGTAGTTTATTGACTATAAATATTTCCCTTTTCTTGGGGAATTTCTTGTTCCGGCCTCTGTCTCAATTTTAGAGCCTTAATCTTAAATAAAGGCTATTTTTTGCACTTAATTTTAGTTACATAAATGAAATTTTGAGAAAGTAATAAATATGTAATAACTAGCTAGTCTGAATACCTGATTTTCTGCAAGAAAATGCGGAAAACTCACTAAATGAAGTTCCAATTACACAAGAACTTTTTTGATTGATGCATTTTTACCTATTTTATGATAATTGATTAAACATTTAATGGGCAGAGAACAAGTAATTAAACTTCGCTTTTTTTTCAACAGTTTCCTCATAAGTTTCCTTCTCGTTTTCCCCATAATTTTCCTCTTTGCTTCACCTCTAGGTTTTCTCTTTGGAAAAAGCCCATTTTGGGTTGTGTTCTGTGCTTAGTCAAGAAATGAACCACTACAGTTTGTGAAGCACTGTGTCTTGGATAGATATTCACCATGGCAGTTGATTCAAAAAAACATGAATGAATAGATAAAAATATATCTATTGATTTTATCAAGTTGTGTTATCTAAACACAAAAACAAAAAAGAAACAAAAAAAATCATATCAGTAAAGCCTTTGGAATTTGTAGACTTTTCCCTGATTTTCCCCTGCTTTTTCCCGCTTTTCCCCCGCTCTTTACAGTCTGTTTGTTTTCCACTTCCGATCTATTTTTGGACTCATTTTAATTGTGCATTGATTTCAAGTGTCAATTTCAATACATTTCTTTCATCGTGGCACTATTTATGTTTAAACCCATGGAACTCTCTATGGAACTCCCGCCCTCCTTCTCACCTTGGTTTTATTTATTTTTTTGTTTTTGGGAGGGAGCGACGCGTGTGCTACGTCATATTTCTTGTTGTTGCCTTTGGCTGATAAAGAGCACTTGCCCCAGCATGTTCAACATGTGCCACACACACACACACACACACGCACACACCCCTTTTGATCCCCTCCCACTTTGCACCAGAAAAAGCGATCATATCTAGCCACAAAATTGATGTTCGATGCTCTCTTTGCCCTCGGGAAACATTTGTCCCAGGTCCCCCTGCACTTTTTACACTGAGAAATATTTGTATTGCTCAGAAAAATTAATAAAAAAATATTCTAGTTTAATTTAATTAACATTTAGAACCTTGGAAATATTATAGAAACATTTTAATACTAGGGCTTTCTTTAAACAAGTAATAAGCAAAAAATTGTATCGATATTTATCGATATTTTTATATGAAAATTTTTTCCGAAAAATCAAAATTTAAAAAACTCATAACTAAGCCAAATATTCATTAATTTCAAATCGGAAAGCGGCACTAAGTTAGTTTTTAATAGGATAATAAATCTGCGTACTCAATTTAAAATTACAAAAATATACAATTTTTATGATTTTTTTCTTTAAATTTTAACGAAGTAACCCCTTAAAAAATGTTGAAAAAATTAAAACAAAAAAATTTCACCCTAAGATGGCTAGATCGATTCCCCTGTTGATGCTGATCAAGAATATATATGATTTATAGGGTCGGAAATGATTCCTTTCTGAATTGCAAGCTTCTGAGTGAAATTATAATACCCTGGAAAGGGTTTGAGGATTTTAGTTCAAAATTTAAAAGATATAATGTATTTTTTAGAGTGTTCTTTATAGGAATAAAGAGAGTAATGTGTAGCTGTGTGGGAATAAATGGAATGTGGGCCAAATGTGCATGGCCCGAGCAACTTCTATCCTCTTATCGAAATACTTCGATAAACTAAAAGATAATGGACAGACACGGGAATGGCAGATGGAGTGGGAGAGAGAGGGGAGGTGGAAAAGATCTAAGAAAAAAATAAATAAAAGGGAAAATGAAATTACAACTCTCTCGGAAAAATCTCCCAAAAGATAGTTTTAAATTAATATTTATATATAAATAAAGATCAATTAATGTAATTCAAACTCTTAAATATCTCTTCGGTAACCTTTTTTTAAATTAAATTGGAATTTTCCCATTCTTTGCATTATTTTCCATTAACATTTTTTGAACTTTTCCGTCCATAAAAATTTGAATAAATATCAAAAGTTGAACAAACTTTGGTGACGAATTTCCTCTCTGGTTTGTCTTAAATTTTGATTACTTTGTTGGACTTTTTAGTTTTTAAGCTCTGTCTGCTTGTTGTCTACATTGTGTCTGATTTTTTCTATATATTTTGGGTTATTTTATATAAATATATATATATATATAGAGAGAGAGAGAGAGAACGAAGGGTGGGCTGGCTTATGAAGCTGCATAGTCACGTGCCTCAACGAGACTTTGAAGTTTTCCCCTTGTTTTCTGCTTGTTTTCCGGCCAACTTTGTGTTGTGTGTTTATGCCGGGTGTGTGTTACACATAATAATCATAATAATAATAACAATATTGCCAAGCCTAAGCTATCGATAACGCATTAAAGAGTGCTTTCTTCCATCGATTTCCGCGGAGTCTATAAATTAACTTGAATGTCTGTTTTGGGTTTCAGTACAAAATTTGCTTTAAATTAGGTTTAAAGATTAATTGTTGCAATGAAAAAATATTACTAAATTATTTATTCAGAGCCTGTAATTACAAATAAAGCAAAGGAAAATAATTAATAGCATTGTAGCCTATATATAATTAATTTAGAGATTATAAATTAAAACGTGAGCTCGTGAATTCGTTAAGGGTTGTCTTTTTTTAGTTATGGTTTATAATATAATATGAGCTTGATTTATGAGCCAAAATGCTAAAGTTTTATTTAAGTTTATTAATATTTTAAACTGTATTTTGTATTTAGTATAAAAGTATATTTTGGAAAGCATTTCATCATATCTTCTGCAATAATTATTGAAATAAATTGATAAAATATTTGGTTATATTTTTTTGCAAGCCCCAAAACTTAATTAAATCTCAAGAATATGTATTTATTATTGAAATAAATATATATTTCACATAAATAATGGAAACTTTGTTGCCTGAAAAATCTATTATCAGCTTTTTCCCCATCATTAATTATTTAAATATATTAAGATTACAAGAAATGCTAATTTAATACTACAAAAGTTGATTAGGTTTTGTAATGCAAAATTTCTGATTTTATAAAAGAATACCTTTTTAATTTATGCCATAATTTTAATTATAAATTCCCCTAATTTAAAGAAAATAAAACTTATGGCTTATTATTTATGATCCAAATTTTCTTTTGTTCATTTAAAAGATGAATTGTTATGAATTGCAAAAAAATTTCACATTGCCATCTGCTCTGTTGCATTCTCTGCCTCGATTCCGCCGGAGTCCAGCTGTCCGGCTGTCCGTCTGTCCGGCTGTCCGGCAAGCGGACATGCTTGACACAGATTCCAAAAGATGCAGTTGCAGATACACAGATCTAGATACAGATACAGATTGCTTGGCGTTTATTGTGATTACTCTAGAGATGCGAGGCAAGGAAGTCCATATTTTGCGCTAATGCATGCAAACAGCATGCCCGATTACAGTGCCCCTCAAACTGTGCGCCCGCCCAGAGAGGAAAAATGCAATAAGAAAATCCCAAAAATTACACAACACAAAAAAGTGCCTGAAACAAAAGGCAAATGGCGATGAGACGACGATGAGACATGAATTATTACGCATACGCAATGTGGTGCAAATAGTGAAAATAAATACAAGATTATTTATGTGGATGACAAGGCGAATGCGTGTTGTCCTTGAACCCATTTTGTAGATGCATCTGCTTGCATTTTGTATCTATGTATCTATGTATCTATGTATCTATGCATCTTTGTATCTCTGCATCTCTTGGCAGATTTAAGCGTAAAAATCCCACTGATAAACAAGCCTACGGCGAGTGTGTGCTGTCAATTGTCTCAACTTGTTGCTTAAATTGGGTCACTGGAAGGCGGAAGGTCGCCACGCACACCCACCCACACACACTCATTCACACACACCCCTTGAATATAAAACTCCCAAACAAAAACAAAGAATCCCCTCCACGTGCGTGCATTGAACCCTTAAATGGACACAGATTTTCCTGTTTCTCCCTTCCAATTTTTTTTCTCTATATTTTCCAGACTCATTTCCTGCAAGACAAATTACACATTGAGACGGTGCCACTCCCCCTTTATTTTTTTGGCGGCCAGTCATAAATTTGGCAAACATATGTGTGCTGGCAATTTATTTTCATCTACTCGCTGCATGTGTGTTCCAACAAAAAAAAACACAAAATCACAGACAGCCAGCCAATTCTCGTTAAATCGATCCCGAAAAATCATGGCAGAAAAAAAAGGAAGCAGGAGGGGGCACTGTGCGGGGCCCAGGGCTTCGAGCGGCTGACAAAACCGAAAGAAAAAGTTATTGACTAACTGACTGACTGACTGACTGCGAACAATTTGTGGCCACCAGGCACGGCAGCTCACAAAAGCCACAAAAAACCTAAAAACACAATAAAAAATAAAGGAAAAACTCCCAGGGAAATAACAAATAACAAAATGGACATTGTGAACTTGGGCAAAATAATTAAAATGTATCAAAAATATATATAGAGTTATGAAAATATATATCATACTTTTGATTTAGGCCATAAGTAATCATAATAAAATAATTATATTTATTTAAAATGTATGCCATACTTTTAATATGCAGAATAAAGGAAAATAAATAATAATAATAAAATATACAATTAAAATATACTTCATACTTTTGATAAAGAAAATAAAATATTCATAATATAACATATAAAGGAATATAGAATAACGTTAATTTAAGTTTCAGGCTATTTAATACAGACATCTCTAAACAAATCATTTTAAA